TAAGATATTTCTTCTGATTTGAATAAGATGATTGAATTCGGCTACTTAGAAATGAAAAGTTGCTTATCATTTTTTGAACCAAAGCTATTTGCTCGAGTGAGAGGTGTCTCCCAGAAGGAGGCCCATGCTGGACACAGCGCAGCAGAAGCTGGTTGAGCTCCACAGCCTCCTGAAGCCTTGCTGGCACAAGGACACTTGACAAGGAGATATGATGGCACGACCGTCTGAAACAGTCTTTTCCAAAATGGAAAAACAGATTGTGCCAAGACTGTGTGATCAAATGAAAATTATGGGATGTGTTACAGTATAGCACCCCTGACTATTACCCCAACATAACACCTTTTACTGAGGGAAAGCTGAAAATAGTGCTATTTCTGGAAGCAAGTGGTGATTATGGTTCACTCTGAAAGAAGATATTTTGCAATTAATGTGACTTTCCCTTAAAGATTAAGGCTTGCAAAATGGACTTCATACAGTTGAGCTGCAATTTGTGGAAACTAGAAAGTACATAATTATCCCTCTTTCTCTCCTTGGAAATACAAAGAACTTTTAGAGCCTTCGGAATTAGAAATCTCAACGAGAATCCCAGAATCCCAGGAGGGTTGAGGTTGGCAGGGAGCTCTAGGGATCACCCAGTCCAAGCCCTGCTCCAGCAGGGACACCCAGAGCACGGGGCACCCGGGCGCATCCCGGCGGGTTGGAGATCTCCAGAGCAGGAGCCTCCACAGCCTCTCTGGGCAGCCTGTGCCAGGGCTCGGGCACCCTCACACCCAGGAAGTTCTTCCTCACACGGACATGGAGCTGCCTGGGGTGCAGCCTGTGCCCGTTACCCCTGTCCTGCCACCGGCCACCACCAAGCAGAGCCCGGCCCCGTCCTCCCTGCACTCTCCCCTCAGGTACTTGAGCACGTTGCTCAGATCCCCTCTCAATCTTCTCTTCTTCAGGTTAAACAGGCCTAGCTGCTCTGGAATTAAAACCAGAAACAAGTTTTAATTCCAGAACAGTTGAAATAATGATCTAGCTTAATGAGCTGGGTTTATGTAGCAAACTCGACGAATCAGACTAGAGAGGTTTACTGATCGGGACCTTAGTGGATCGCTAATTCCATAAAAATAGGGAAGCAAGAGACATTCTGGCAGATCCGTGCAGACGCTGCCGCGGCCGCTCATAGTCGTGCTGGGTGCAGCCCCATCTGCTGCCAGAAGCTTTAATAGAGATTCGAGGATCCTACTTTTATTATTAAGCTGATGGACAACTAGTCTTGTTTAATTCCAGAACCTCCAAATACCCTATTGCACATCTTGAGGAATAAAATGTTAGCCCTTAACCATTTCTAAACTTCTAGCCAAATTTTCAGCTTCAATCTATAACTTATACCTCACTGCTGCTGCGGATTTCTTTAAAGTGAAACCTCCATCAGATCTCTTCCTAACTCAGTTTTAGAAGATAATTTTGCAGAAAAACTGTCATTATTACATGCTTAGTGACATACTACTATAAATTTGAAATATATTTCTGATATTCTTAAGGACCGCAATGACCTATTGGTAATATGTTTAAAGAATAGAGAAAAACTTCTGGAAAAATTACAAGAGAAAAATCACCAACACACAAGAAATCACAAATTCATGTTTCTGTTAAACACTGTGAAAATACATGTGTTAGAATCACTGCAGACAAAATGCTGAAAACGAGAACTCACAGTCAAACAGATGTAAGAGGTTAGTAATTTTATATACACTATAAACATACAACAAGCTGCGGGGAGAGGTGCTGGAGACATCTGCAAGCAGTGGGCACCTCATGACGGGGCCGGATCTCTCCCAAAACATGCAGTGAAACTTAAAAAAGTAAAAGGGCTGGGACAGCCATGATTAAGGGAGTAATGAGCTAGGTGCTCACCGACATGATCTGAGCAGTGACACCAACGAACAGGAAGCCAGTGGCTCTGGTGACCGACTAGGGGTGACACAGCAGCGAGTGCCGTCTATCCCGCGCTCTGCTGCAGGGAGGCAGCGAAGGGCTCCCCAGGGCTACGGCTACGGGACAAAACCTGGAGACTTGCTGTCACTGCCATACTCAGCCTCTCCAGCAAACGTTAGGCAGCACCTCTGCTTCCTTGTGCTAAGGCGGGAGGTGCCTCTCTGCACAGCGTAACGCCAAGCTCCAAGCTGGGCTCAAGCCGTGATTCACATCCACTATCCAACAAGTGAACCTCCTTCCTCAGCATTTGCTAGGCTCATTGTGCCACCTGCATCCTAGCTCCTTCTTGATGTTTGTATCACCAGACAACACACTTGCTAATGCACATATGGATCTCAGAGTCACCAGGAGCCTTCACCTGCTTTATTGATCTCCCCTGGGTTACTCCAACAACAGTAAAGCAGATTTTCCTAGCAAGATAATCAATACGACTTTAGATTAAAGTTCCCACAAAATGCTTAACAAATTATATATTAATGATTTATTGTCTATTAATTATGATTTAATAAGGGCAATTGGCATCTGATTTAGCATACTGCACTCCAGTGTCCGGATTCAGCATCTGAAACTGATCTCAGCTTTTTTCTTTCAAAGACTTGGCTAAGAAATCCTTTATAAATACACTTCAGCCTTTGTTTTTGCTTTGGGAAAGTCTATGTTTCCACAACACATCTATTGCTTGTACCATCTTACAGCATTCAAGGTTTTGCAGCACCTTTTGGCCCCAAGAGAGAATTCGAAAGGTCAACAGGAAAAGCAGATATAAATTCAGTAGTACATATGACGATGACAGCTCAATGGATAAATCTCTAAATTTCTAGGATTTCAGATCCCACTAGACAATCGAATGGATGTTTAATATCAGCCAGCAATGTGCATAGTCACACATGCGAAATGCCAGCAGGGATGAGGACATATTCTGGAGCCTCAGGTCCACCCAAGAGCACAGACCATCACTTCTATTTGCTCTGACCATTTCAGAAGCAAATAACTGGTAGTTTTTGTCTCCTGCTCTGCCAGTGCCCATAGCACACGTCACGTCACCTTACTCCTTGTGCGCTTTGGCAAAACGTCACACCTGCAAAGTGCCCTTTACTAAATAGTTTATAAAGTGATTTGGGTTGGGATCTTCACAGAAGAAAGACACTAACACAACCAAACCATTAGGTCCTGTCTGGGATAATTTCTCTAAGAGTTTGTAAGGTCCACTACCCTCCCAAATTTTACTTTAAAACATGATCCATCTCCTAAGAGCCTCGACTTTATCCCTAAAACACAGTGCTATACACGTAATACTGATTCACTTAAGAATGTCGAGGTGTTATGATGCTGTCGGGAATGGAGTGCACTGTCACCTCTGCATGGTGGACTGCATGGGACAAGCATTTCTTCAGTCTTCTGGGTTTTCTAAAATACTAGTTTATGAAACGTATCAAATGCAAAAGACCATAAAAATGTGCTTAACACAACTTCAGCTGCGCATACATAAACTCCAAGTGAAAATATCTAGACTAACTATAATCAGATTAATTAATGATATAATTAGTTTCTCATTACATGACCATGTAGCTGGGTCAACTTCTGGTTAATGTGCTATGCTATTTGTAAAATAGAGCAACAGAGCAGACTGTACATATGATGCATTATTCCAGTACTTTTTCCCTTTGTGCATTCACACACTTTCTCTAGGAAAATGGGGAAAATGAGTTTGATTCATCTTCAAATCACAGCTTTTACCTAACCTTGCGTGCTCGTGTGTAACAACAGTAGCTGGTGTTGGCAAACTGCTCCAAAGCTGAGAAGCACTGTTGATATCCCAGTCACCTGCACTCCTACTACCTGCCACGCAACTCACACAGCATGTATTATTTACTGTTAATGAGATTGTTTCATTAAGAGCTAATCACTTTGAAAGTTATCGACACAAATGTAGCAATCTTAATTAAAGAAATCAGTAATAAAGAAAGCATTCTCTGCAGATTCAGTTCTGCAAACCGCTAGGCCAGTAGAAAGTCCAGAAAATAACTTGTAATGCTCTGCACCAACACGGGTGGAAAAGTTAATTCTGTCGGCACTCGGACAGGAGCATTCTCAGCAGGGCTCTTGCAGTCCACTATAGCATCTATAGGAGGGGAGTCCAGCCTGTGACACACCGGCTGCTTGCTTCTTGCAGTTTGATTTACAAAAGAAAAACTCTGGGTCTGGAAGATACATGCCCATCCTCAAGGACAGCAAAGAGACACTACAGCATCACTGAGAATTAAAGAGGGAAAACCGAGAGATTAAATTGGTTTTCTGCCCTGGATATTATTTCTGACCCCATGTTACCTGGAGCAGAATGCTAGCAGTAAAGTCAAGGTAATCTCAACTCATGATGGAAAGGGTTTACTCTATTCCCTTTGGCTTTATACAGATGTTCCACAGCAAAATACTAATGTCACAAAGGTCTGCACAAATCTCTGCTGTTTTTATTTTTAAAGCATGGAACTCTGTCACAGAAATTTAGGAATTTTTTCCTTTTTTTCACTGATTACAGATGCGAACCAACATGCACTCGGTTTACAAACAAAAGACGGCGAGATCCTCTGTGAGCTATAAGCAAACAACGAGAATCATGAGCACAGTAGGCAGAGACTCTTCCAGGACAGTAATTAGTCCTTAGTGCAGAAAAATGAAAACCATTTCTCTCTTTTCTTACAAAAATGACCTACTTTATTACAATGAAGGCATAAGCATCGATATTGTCATCAGGCACCCACCCATCTGGGGTGGATGGAGACAGTAAGCTGCGAGATCCTCTCCACCTCATCTACCAAGGGTTGCTTTATTGCTTCAGCAGATTTCCAACACAGAAATACTCACTTACCAGTCGGACATCCTGTTGAAAGTATTGTTACCCAGGTTCAATATCAAGATTAGTCTGTTAAGTCACTTCTAATTTCTTCACAGGAAAAATATTTAAGAAATAAAAACTGTTTGGCAGAGAGAAGAACTGAGAAAAGTTAAGTCCTACCTACCTCTACTACTGCTTTGGCATCCAGTCTGAAGTTGAAATCTCCGAAGACAAAATATGAAACTTTCTCAAACCGCTGATCTATGATTCTGAAGGGGAAAAAAAAAAGTCACTCAGCTTTGCATATATGCAAACATACACATGCACACACCTCTTACATCACTTTAGAGGTAACTTACGTATACTCCGCAAAACATTTTATTTTTAGGAACAATCTCGGAAGTAACTGGGACAATCAAAAGTACCAGCTTATTTTGGAAGCATCTTCTTGATAAACTAACCATGTGTTTGGGCTGTGCTTCCTTGCTCAGGCAACTCCATGTTCAGCACAAGTGAAATAGCACATTCAGTTACCCCTGGCCCTGGAAGACCTGGCCCCTGGTGAGGTCTGGTTCTCTGAAAGATAACCCCTTTTTGGGGAAATCAATGTTTGTTGAGACTGTAGCCAACTCCTAAGCTGGGCTTTCTGGACACAGAACCGAGACTGACTCTCTTCTCCCTGCTCTCTTCCTACTAAAGAGGAGAGTGAAGCATTACTATTTATCTTGCAAATCTTCTGTTATTAAAAATATCATTATATTCTTAGTCTATCTATCGTTAATAACAATTCCTTGGTTCTCCCAACAACATGCAATTTTACATGCTTCTAGACCTCTCAGCATTCGGAAAACCACTGAGTTAACCCTTAATTTCAAAACAGGAATTGTTGCAGTTAATTCACTAAATAACGAGTACCTCATGAGGGTACAAAATACCTGAAGTGTGACTGTTACAGCTGGAAAGGAAATACACAGAACAAATATACAAAAAGTGGAATAGTATACTGAAGTGCATAATAAGGAGTGAGAGACAGACGCAAGGCAACACACTGTGCACCTTCTAGGAATATATAACTGCTTAAGTACTACGATACCCTACGATACCCTAGATCCCAGCCCCAGAGACAGGGGCTCCTATGGACAGGTAAAGGATTATAAAGCAATGCACAGCTAGACAGACCTTCTGCAACAGCGCTGCCCAGCTAGGAGACATTTGTTTTAAATGGCTTTAAATGTTTTAATACATGGCATCCTCTTGGACATTGCAAAGCTATAAAGTAAGGAGGAACTCTAGATTTACAGCGAGGCACTGCTTCTCCTCTTAAAACATCTCCTTGCAGTTTCAGTCTGCAGCCATCTATTACATAAGGCACATTGAGAAATTAATGTGCATTGGAACTATGCTGGTGATCACTGGAAGAAAATTCTGCTGCAAAGAGTTATCCTCTTTTGGTAGGAAAATCTCCAAATCCTCCATTGAGCTGACAAATTATTGCAAGTACTGTTAATAAATACTGTCTACTGTCAAACACTACCAAGCACCAGGAAAGGCTGCTGCTCCCGACCTGCACATAACATTGCTTTGATTGGTGCCCTCACGGCACTTTGAAGGAAAATGAGAGTGTAAAAGCTAAACCATTCACAAGACCACAATTTGCTAACACTGTAATCGCAAGATCTGATATGCAACTTCCACACGCAAAAAGCTCATTTTGTTTTGCCAGCTTTAGTGATTCATATCTTTAGTTTTCCCTTAGCTTTTTGCCGATGGCTGCTGCCAAAACCTGAGAGAGATTACAGGAACGACGCAAGGTCCAGAGATGGTCTCTTAAAGCAAATTGATGTCATGAGGATGGTATCTGTGATTATATTATGCAAAGATGGATTTTTCAAATAAACAGACTGCTCCAAAAATAGCCAGTTAAAATGTCTCTTAACTAAATTAACTTGAAAAAGCTCAAATAGCTACTGATGAACAAAACACTTGATTAAGTTCTGCTTCTGATCAATCAATTAAAAACCAGTCATTTCATAGCCTTGCACATTACCTGATTTAAACGTGATTTGGATACTAAGTAACACCAACTTCAAACTGGCAATTTTAACCAGCTGCTTCCCATGTAGTTTCTTTTACTGCACATTTTAGAAAGAGAGTCTCAGGACAGACTGAGTTAAAATGGTACAAAAGTCACTTCTCAAGAATGATGATTTGCACAGCTTCTGACATAGGAGAAATGTGGAGAAATTTAAATGTACAGTAAAATTACCAAAGCCAACATGGCAAGGAATAGGTAGCCTTATTAAAGAATACAGGTTACCTCACAATAAAATATACTTTCAATGGCTTAACACTATATATATAAAAAACTACATATATATACATACGGATGGGGTCAAAAATATATATAAAAATATATAAATTTACTCTAAATCTGACTTTTATTTACAATACAGGTTTTAGAGCTGAAGCAAAATAAAAAGTTCTATTCCTCCTCTTTCTGCCTTTTAAGCCACAAATAAGTAAAACTGGTCAAGTGAATAAGTAAATGCAGAATTGGGAAGACTTTCCATTTAATTTTTACTGAGGAGAGCTTGCAAATGAAGTAAGATGTCTTCAAAACGTGTTTTATTTTACTTTGCTATTTGCCATTATACCCATAGCCTTCCTTAAACCATGAATCACATAATCCTTTAAAAATGCTGCCATGAATCAGCTGATGGAGCAATAAATCTGAATCATATAAAAAGAAAGCAGCCATCCCATGTCACCAATGTTAATTTAATGTTTTTAGTGGGAGGACCAAGTGCTATTTCTTGCAACTTGTATTTCTCGTCTACCAGATTATCCAGAAAGGCTTCCTCCCTGCACAGCTTTTTCCAACAGCTAGTGACAAAACCGCCCACTCCTGGGGAAAAATGTCATGACTGTGAAGTAACCTACAGATATTTCACTTCTGGAGTTTTACGTGAAAGAGGAAACCAAGGACCAACAGTGTCCTCTTAGTATCCTGTGACCTCTATGGGGTCTGCATTTTTGCATGGCCTTGTTAAACTTCGAAGTGTGCTAGTTCAAGGGCCACAGAAGACAGTATTTCCTTCTCTCAGTTGCAACTATGCAGGACTCCTAATTGCATAATCGTGCCTTAATAGCCGTGTTAGGTAAAGCCTGGAACTGGAGAACTGAGCTCTTCGTCCCAGCCGAGATGCACCATCTCAGTCATCTCAGCAGTTCGAAACCAATTCTGCATTTTTAACTGGTGACTCCGCACTGAAAATCTTTTGGACTGCTTGGATTGCTCTCCAGTGCTTTCCAATCTTTGCTATATTTTAAGGAGAGATAAAAGGATTGCAAAGCTTCAAAGATGACCTTGGAAAAATCCTGCCTGTTTTCTGGCAGTGGATTGGGAAAACTGTGGGGAACCATCGTGACCCGCCGAGGAGGAGGTGGCACAGCTTGGCTTGCTGTGATGACCATGTGTGCAGTGGTGGGGAGAGTGCAGGGGCAGGAAAACCTGAAGGGAAATCAAGGAAATTCTGTTGCAGAAGCAGAGACTGGGGTCTGGCCTTGCAGCCCAGGAAAGGTTGAGCTACTCATATGTAAGGGCAAACCCCTAAGCTTGGACAGGATCAGCTACGAGGTGTGAGAAGACAAGCTTCTGCAGAGCAGCTTCATCCATCTGGGTACCATGGCCATATTGGGACTAAAAATAAGAGCTGGTATCAGTCTCTCATCTTCCCCAAATTCCTGCAAATGTCAGTCGAGTTGCTGAGTTTGGTCCGTACATGGAGCACAGGGCCTTAGAAGGAGGACTTTAGCATTATTGACATCAGGGAAACCGTTTTATAACTTACTTTTACATTTAAAGCACCGATGGGACCTGGCTGTGATTACCGCTACTTCATGAAACGCCCTCGGCCGCACGGTGCCGCTGGAGGGGCCGGGGCCGCGCGGCGCCCGAGGCCAGCGGATCAGCCGCATTATGCCTCTAATAGCCATGTCTAATGCAATAACCGTCTGGGTTTTGTCCCGAGCCAAGGTATCAGCGCCAGGTCAGAAGGTAACGCTCTGTTTACACGATTATTTCCTAAAGCACTTAGCTTCCCCTCAGCATGGAAGTTGGCTTTTCTGCTTGTAAGGGGGCCTAAAGAATTGAGGGAATGGGCAAAATTAGCTACACTGAGCTGGAGCTGAATGGGCTGAGGTGGGAGGTCCGCGGCGCCCGCGGCAGGCACAGCAGGACACCC